TATAAATCATTACTACTATACTATTGTCGATACAATTACTATTATCAATACTTCTATTGCGAACAGTAATGGAAACAAATGATGTCTCGCATCATTCTTGCGACCACCGAACTCGCATTACTAAAATATCCCTAGAAGTGCTGGAGTACATTTGACACATGAGCGCGCATGGCAGTCAACGCGTTAACAAGCTGAACGTTAAACCGTGAAACGAAAATGCACAAATTGTTACACGCGGAATATTAATTTCCAATTGAATAAATATCTACCTGCAAAATCGGCCAACACCGATTAATTCGAAATTCGCAACTGGAATCGGTCCGTACCGATCCTAAATACACGTAATGCATCTACATAACCGGATCGTCGATTCGAATGATTATCGAGCCCCGCATAATAGGAGGTCGGTTAAATACTCTCGTATCAGAGGTTAATGACTTATGGAAATTTCTTGCGCGACAGGGTCGCATTGTGACAGCGTGTCCTTCTCGCCCTCGTCTCCTCCTCGTCGTTCTCGTGTACAATTTCGATGTAAAGAAACGTAAAAGATCGTGTACAACAGATATCATGCACGGATCGACGTTTTCTTGTTTCGGGCGTGGATCATATTTGGGATCATTCTGAGCTAGGCTGAATTCATAGATACGCGAGAAATTTCAATTTTCACCTTGTATTCGCATCCATATTTTCGATGGATCGATCCGGGAATAATCGACGACGAGTTTTGAATAATTGCCGCGTAGACGACTCGTGAGAATATGTTTTGAAAGCGACTGACTCGCGGGGCCCACACGTCGCTTTCGCGCCACGCCGCACGAAATTACGCGTGTCAAGAGTTCAAGAGACCATTCCTCGGTCTTTTCTTCTCCAGTAGGAGCTTACGTTACGTTGCAACACCGACGCACAAACACTTGGAAAACGTTCAAGATGTTGTTTACGAGGCGATAGATCCCTCTCAGTCTTATATGGCCACGTGTTCGAGACGCGTGTGTCCTTTTCGGTCGATTTTATTTAGCCACGATGCACGGGTCGATTCACTGAGATCTATGGGCGATGAACAGTGAAGGCTGGTTTCGGAGCAACCGGGGAGGTCGGTTCACGACTGGATCCTCCTTCCATTCGATTTAAATATTTTTAAATATTGCGCACAGTGTGTCGAAGATGGATAATAAAGAGTAAATTGGAAACATTACATTTAATTGCAAGAATTGTAAGATTGATTAATTATTATAAAATTGTAGTAATATGAATAATAATTACGTAATAAACAAAGCGATTATTTTTCTTATATAAAAGTAAAAATAATAAATAATGGTAAAAATAATAAACAGAGGGAAAACATATACGTATTTTCTATCAATTCCATCAATTATTGTATCAAATATAAATCATAGAAATATAAATTATATAGAATAGATTATTTAATTATTTAATATAAGAAATAGGTAACGATATCAAGGACAATTCGTTCATTTGTTTATTTTCAACCAATTGGAATGTAGATTTTCCTTTAACAGTCGAGGACCGAGAGAGAAGTTCGAAATAAAATGTGTTTACCGTTACTCGGTTTTTCCGCATTGCGATGCTCGGCCAGACTAGAGAACGTGTCGTACGTTGGTTTTACACTCCGTTTCTCGAATGAAACGGTGCAAACGTCCTTTGTTTCTGAATTTTCAGACAAATGACCTATTTTTCAAATGGAAAAAGATGAGAATTTCGCTTGGACTCTCTACTTTACAAATTTATTAAAGTAGAAGAAAATATAATATTATTTCTCATTTTTCCGAGAGAAATGAATACGCGTATATTTTTCTCATAAATTATATTATTTTGATTGTTTTATAAACAAACTTATAAACTTGGATATCATAGAGAAAACAACGCACTAAAAAAAAGAAGAAAAAGAAAAAAGGAATATTCTAAAAATTAATTATACCAAAAATCTAAAATAAGCTAAATTCAAAAAATATAATTGAATCTTAAAAGATCTTGATTCCTTCGTTCCAATCTGTATCAATTTGTCACAAAATTCCGAACAGATCTATCGATCGATTCGAAACAGTTACTCTTTTTTTCAATTCGATTCATTTTACAAAAAACTTGGAAAAGCAATATGTTCCCCCAATGATCCTAATTAATTCTGATGATTTTTACGCGCACAAACAGGCGTATCGTGTCACAATTAGAACGATTCGAATCGAATTGGTTAATCTCCCGGGATGATCGTAAGAAGAGCACCACGACGATAATTGGACGTCACTTTCATCGTCCTTGAACGTAACAATTTCGTTTTCCATCGTTGAAGTTACCTTAGATGACGGGACACAGTTGCAATCCCCACACACGAGGAAATTTCCACTTTTCCAATGGACGAACATGGAATAGCACAGTGAATGGATATTTCCACTACGCCACTTTCGTTTTCGATTAGTTTGTTACTAGTTGTTGGCCGCCTGATAACACGAATACCACGCATGCTATTGACTGGGAGCAAAGTCGTAGAATTATGAAAACGCTATTCATTCACTCGTAGAAAAATATTTAAGATAAGTAGATGATTATTATCCAAGTTATAGAAAAATATTTGATAAATCGATAATTATTATCCGAGTTATCTGCTAAACAAATATTATTTTTATACAAAATAAAATTCACGATTCACAACGAGTCTTATTAAATTTAATATTGCTACGATAAAAATAGGAAGTAGAAAATTCACGAAGGATTGAATCAAGTATTATATTTAGAAAAATATTTTTCTAACAGTCTTAATATTGATTTTCATTCATAGAATGAATCGACAGAGCATAATAAAAATCGAAGAAATTGCATCATGGTCACGATAACGTTATCGGAACAAGGTATTCGTTTCTTGTTTTTTTTTTTATCACGATCATGGCGTCAAATTTTTTTAAATCGATTTGCGTTACGTAAACGCCATTGCACTATTAAAAACCCGCCTTTAGCGTTCGTTCGATGTTTTTACACGAAACACATCGATCGTTTTTTATCGATAGATCTCGTTTTGCATTGGCCGACCAAATAGCGCCCCCACCAAGCGCGCCAAACTGCGGCACTAACGAGATCATCATAACAGTGACACAGACACACGGAGCCCTTGAAACTAAATGTCGCGTCGTCGTTTTCGTTCCACGATCTCAACGATGTTTTCTCGCGATCGTTATCGAGTTCCGGTACACTCTCCGATTAGTTCGTTTGTATTTCTTTTTTACCGGTCGCGACACGTCGTCGTTATTTTTAGACCAAAGAGTGATTACCGGAGGCTGAGATAATGGGGCCGATCGAACGTAACGACGCAAGTCCACATTTGTATTTACAATCGAAAATACACGAAAAATATTTTGGCATTCGTTACAGGGAAATTTTCTGAACAGTCGAGTCACTTCTTTATCTTCAAATTACGTAATCGATATTCTACAATGCAGTGTTGTTTACGAATGGCCGAAATTTTTCGCGCTTTTTTCCCTTTTCCACTACAGCCCTCTGTACTCGCGTGACAAACGTAACGTGGTCGGCCATATTTACTCGGCATCCGAACGAAATTCTGGCAGCTAGGCAAGGATGCTCGATAGAACCATCTACGATAAGAATTTTGTTTACGAGGTAACACACTCCCTATTAACGGATTATAATTCCTAAGATAATCGTAGTTACAAAAATATCGTTGCGTAACGATATTTTCTCGTCGTGTTACGATCCGCTTAAATCGCGTTTAGCTTTGATGCACGGTCACGTGACATTCGATTTTTCATCGTGTACACGACACAACTACTATAAATAACTTAACACGATTACGACGTGAATTGACATTTTTTTTATTTCTATAATCGACCAAATTAAATGACCAGTAAAAATTTATCGTGTGACATTAAATTTAACGTTCGATATCTTTTTTTTCAAATTTAACGATCTTCGTTATCGATATGCACACTCGTTTATAATAATTGCATTGCATAATTGATTAATTAATTGAATCTTGTTTACCAATATTCGTTTGTTGTAAAAATCATGGCCTCGATTGTTCGATTAATTGTTTGTAGCATGTTTACGAGATGTACGAAACACTGTTCGTACGTCAAATTCAACACAAACGATCATTTCGTTCCTCGAATTGCACGAGCACGTTCTTGTTTGCGTTCAATTGCTTCCGACTTATCGAATGTCACGGCGAAGAACACACAATGAATTTTTTATGCATATGCGGTAGAGAATATGCGCAAACTTTTTTCGCGTATGCAAAAAATATGTCGGCATAGAATAGAAAAGACAAACATTGATACACATGATAAACGCGTGCGCGGAGCAAGTGTTGCAAAATTAGACTTGAATATTTTCTTATGCATGCACGCGTCAAATATATTCTGTACTCGTTAAAACAATAGAAATTCGAATAAAGAAGGAAGGTAATGAAACGAATAAAATAATTGCAGAATTGCAGAATTGCAGAAAACAGAATCAAATTTTAGAATTTAAAAGAATGATAATAATCGTACGTATAAATTTTATACGTACTTGTAAATATTCCTATAAAATTTCGATCGATTAATCCAGTTTTCTATTTTTCGAATTTATTTTCGTCGTATTAAAAAAAAACAATTCCTATGAAAAAAACTTTTTATATCATGAAAAATATATTTGTATAATATCTCTAAATATTAATATTTATATAGATTAAAACTAAATTAAAAGTATCTATAAACAGTTTGATTGTTTATTCGAAATAACAATAAATGAATAATTATCTTTGAAGCAAATTAATTATTCTAACCTAAATATTTAATCGCGAAGCTATCATCGAAGCACCTTCAGTCGGAAAAATCAACGTCTAGACGTCAGGAAATATAATAACATTCTCTTCGACACACTTTGACCGACACGCAATTCGAACGAGTATGGGACATGATTGCTTGTTGCGCGCAATTATCGTTCAAATCGCAGGTTGAGGAACGTGCTCGAACTTTTCACGCGCCAATACTTACATGTCTTATAAATATTACGTACATTCCTGGCCACGAAATGGATCCGTGTCGATCGTCCTCGATGTTGACGATGATGATGACACGTCGATAACACAATCACTACCGGAGCACCACTGCCGTATGTCCCGCATTACTCGGCATGCCGATAGTCCGAAATCACTGCGTAAATAACAAAAATAGACATAAAGTAAACTATGAAGGGAAATAATTTTTACACGTACACACGCGTAAAGATATATGTATATAAATACACGTAGAAAAAAAGCTGGAACGATGTATAGTGTATCGCGACCGATTACAAAACACGCGACCACACGCTAATTCTCTTTTTCTACGTCGTTTCTTAGCCGGAACTTTTTCAAGGTTTCGGTATGAGATTTCACAAGAGACAAGTATTTACTCTATAGACCACGAAATACCGTCCTTTTCCTTCCGACACTTCGCTTCACCGATTACCGTTTAGGATAAAACAGCGTGAGTACGTGTACGTGTACACGTGCGCGCGCGCGCACTCCTTCGACAGACGCGATGATTCGTAGTTGCTTCTAATGCGTAGTTAGCGTCGCGAACCCGGTAAAATAAAGTAAAACGTAAAGAGGAAGGAAAGACAAAGAACCACTCCTCGAAGGTTAAAGCGATGAGACGCCATCATCGTAGCAGCCTCTGCGCGGTCCACGCGCCGCTTGTTTACTTTATCCCACCTTCGAACAGGTTGTTGATACGCACCTCGCGATAGTATCACGTTTATGAACGAAGAGAGATCATAATTGACGGTATCGATCTACCATAACTGTGGTATATTATTTTTTTTTTATCGATTTGAAAAATCGTTTTTCGTACGATTAATTTAAATCGTAGAAGTGTGAATTCACGACAACTAAGAACAAAACTTCACGAATCGGACAAGTATATCAGATACCATACAAGGCGACCATGTTATCGTCACTGGCGCACCTCGGATTGCTTTTTTGAACCCGACACCGTAAACTACGCGGTATTCACGCGCGACGCGTTCGACAACGCGCGTATATGCTACACGCGACACAACAAACGCGACTCAACACGTTCGATCGTGCGAGAACACGTAATTCACTTGCAGTGTTAGGAAAACTCGTAGCACAGTAGGGGAATGGTGGAAGGGAGGGGATAGAGAAAGGGTGGTCACGAGTGCGAAATTCCATGTTCCGAAATTCTTGAATTATTACTGAATTTTCCGTACGGTGCAATATATATATACGCGATCGTTGGTTAAACTCGAGAAACAAAGAAAAACACAACGAAAACGAGAGACACGTGCCACGAACAAAAGACAAGAAAACGTATATATGGAGTTTTTAGAAAAGAGCGAAACAAATGGAGAAACCAGTCAGAAACATTAATTGCGACGCACGCTGTGAGACCATTTTCTTCCCCGTCGCCATTATCGAATGATAAGAAAAAGAAGGGATGCTTTCGTCAGGGTGGAAGGGGGGTTAGAGAAAGAAGGGAGGACGAAGCGTACGGTTAGGTTAGAGACAAAGAAAGAGATATAGTTTGGTGAGAGTGAGTGAGTGAGTGAGTGAGTGAGTGAGTGAGAGAAAGAGAGAGAGAGAGAGAGAGAGAGAACCGGCTGCTGCTGCCCGCGTCCCGTATTGCGTAGTAAGCGCTTGAATGGATTACGTCACGCGCCAAAGGCAAGCGCAAGAGGGTAAAAGCGTCGCGTCAGACACACAACACGGACGAAGCTCCATACTGTATAGAGCATTTGTTTGTTGCATCGGTTGTTACGCGTGTCCAGCGTGCGCATTTTGCATGGAGGACTTCGGCCCCGACCTCGGTCGTTTGTTTTCCGGTCACCGACAGGGCCCCCGAGTTGCGAGAGAAACGAAGCACGCACCTACCGCCACCGTATGAAACTCTACACGCTCGTATGCGCAGCATCGTTTACCGTTCGCGCATATTCGTGTGACAGGATGCCGTTTTCCAGCGTTTCTCGTGCACCTTCGCCGCGTTCCCGAGGAACGATCGATCGTCAAGATACGATACGAGGGATTCTCCCGCGACGAGTCCTCCCATTTAGCGGACCATAGAACGTTCATCGCTACGGGTGGAACTCCCGCGTCGCTCCCCACGTGTTTTCGCGATCGAACAACAGTCAAGTCAGTCCTCTCTTCGTGTCTTTATTTTATCTTTTCCCCCGCTATTTCTATCTTGCTCTATCGTTTTCCGTTTCCCTTCTTTTCTTTCTCACTATCTCTCTTTCTGTCTCTGCTATACAACGTCGGTTCAAGTGTCCTCTTTTGTTTCTCGTTTCTCGTTTCCCACAGACTCTTCTCTCCCTTCCTCGACCATTCGCTTATTTTTCGTCTCGCGAACGAGTTTGCCAAGTCACGCCGAAAACTGGCATCGTGTTCCACGTGGGTAAACGTGTCCTTTCAAAACACCACGATTCTCACCACTGTCGCGCACGTACACATTGCATTCCACCGCGCATAGCGCGTATTTACCTTTCGGCTGTGCTCGCGTGCTCCACAATTCAAACTCTGACCGCCTCTCGTATCGCCTTCGCGTACACAAACCGACACAAGAATGATGGCGAAAGAACACTTGATACGAGGCAGCCCTCAAAAACGCAATAACAGAACACACACCAACATTCTGACGAACGAGTCAGCTGGTACTGATCCGATCGTGAACGAGTGCCGACTTCGCCACGGGTCATGGACGTAGAAGCGTCGTGGAAATACGAGTATCCTCCTCGTGTCTTGTCGGGAATCCGATTTGTGCGCCACCATTCGTACGAAGCCCTTAACTAACATCAGTACCGTATTCTACGATGCGATAGCCCTTCCTTCCATCGCTTGTCTTCAGCCATTATCGTTCGACGTTTAATCGTTTACTCACGAATATATATTTGGACAATAAAATGACCGAAGCTGCAAATAGTCGAACAAAATTACATCTATTTTCCAAATTATTGTCCCGAATGTGAATATTTATCGTTCAAACGATCGGAATGGTAACTGGAGTTTAATTTCGATGGTGGGCAATGCTGATAGGTTAACTTTCGATAAGTCCCCTTAAGTGCGTACATCATGGATGAAGCATCATCCTTTATTGTACGTAGAGGGGAAAATGAAAATGTGTATTGTCAGTGTCATGTTGATCGTGCGAGTATTAGTAACTTGTTTTTAACATTTTTTGTTGTGGTGTTGGATCATTGTTTTGAACGACAGTATCGTGTATTATTTTTTATATTTGTCTCGATGAAGGTCGTATAAAAAAAACTCGTTAGAAGTGATTAATGCGTTCGCGATGACTGATCCTTTTTATTCAAATTTAATCGTGGTTCGTTCTATGTAAAAGAAAAAAAAGTATAAAACGCGTCACGTAAAATTTTATCTCTAATGTTTCCAAATAAACGAACATATTGAAATAGAATTCTCAAAATTTAAACGCTATATTTATTATGAAGTGATAAATTTTTATTTCTATTATTATCTTTTTTTTTTAATTGATTTTAAAAATATTTTATATTTTTACTACTTTGTTTTTTTTTTTAAATTTATTTACAGATGATAATAACAAATATCGTCTATCGTAAAACTTTAAAATTTGTTTCAAATTTGTTTGGTAACAGTAATCAACAGTAGTTAATATAGAGATCTGTACGACGATTTGTACGACGATATTCCTTCATTTTTAACATGACAGAAATGTGATCAAATATTCAGATTTTTTTTTACAGTACATTTCGATTACGATTGTAGGCTTTTATATGATCACAACGGTATTGAATGCTATTAAATATAAAGACATCGCAAGAATTTTATCGCTATGAAATTGACACTATTCAGTCTAATTAATTTTCTTCTTAACAACTTGTTTGGATATAGTCCTCCAGCATAATTTCTTTAATCCGTACATCAATAGCGTTAATGTTATCACGTAAAATATTACCACATCGATGGAATAATAGTGAATAACGCTCATATACCTGAAACAGTATATTCCTTATTAATTATTGCATGAGCTTTTTTTTAGAGAAATCTCTACCTAAAAAACTACCTCGTAGAACTTTTTAAATGTTCTCCTTTATACTTGGCAACATGTTCCACCCACCAAGTGGCCAATTTTCTAGGATTAATCGGTAAATCTCGTAGCAACGTGCTCCTCTTTTTCGCCGCTATTCGATACGAATTGTTGTGAATTGCAGCCACTTTGAGAATCCCATCGCGAAGACTCCCGATGGATATTCCGGCCAAATCCATCACCAAAGCGTAACCCAATTTTTCTGCAACGAAAGAAATTGTATCTTAAACGTATGTTAGCAACTTTCAACTTTCAATTATCTCGATTTTGAAAAATTCTCTCTTCTTTAAATTTATTATAATATTATTTGCCAATTTTAAATCCGACTAACCAGCTTGTGCCGCGTTTCCATCGTGATCACAGAAAACGGGCAAAACGAGGGTGGGAGCAGCGTGATAAGCGGCCTCGTGCAGAGATAGAAGTCCACCGTGAGAGACAAACGCTCGAAGCTTCGAATGGCCTAATAGCTCTTGCTGCGGCCACCATGCCGCCGTTCTGACGTTCGATGGCAGATCTTTGATCTTCATACCTTCCCATTTCCATATAACGTTGCACGGAAGCGTGGCAAAGGCTGCCACGAAGATTTGACGAAGCGCCTCGGGCATGCCCGAAGCGCGAACCGACGAACCCATGGAAACGAAGATGAAACCTGCGCCAACGTTTCGCCATTATACTTTGGAATTAGACGAAAATGAGCTATTCAGTATCGCGGATCGATCGTGGGAAAAAGACAAAGTAATAGTAATCTTTTTTTTTTAAATTTCGTTCGTTGAAATATTTACTACCGTGTACTTGGCATCGTTGAGAAATAATTTATATTATTATTTTATATTATTATTATTATATTTTTATATAATATATATAATTTTTTTATATATTACTATTATATTATTATTATTCTATATTATTATATACACGCGAAAAACTTACGAGAAATTTGCGCATTTATTCGAATGACCATTTATTTGAATTTCTGGCCATGGTGAAAATTGAAACGTCAAATTGGCGCGTCGAGCTCGAGAAGTAATTCGAGGAACGAGCAATAATTTGCCAGCTAACCAATGCCAATTGATTTACGAAACAACTACTCACCGCGTTGCAAAAAAGTTTCCAAATCCGGACTAAGCTGAGTCGCGGGTTTACAATGGAGGCACGCGACATTCACCACGTTCGCCAAGTAAGGGACCGAGTCGGCCACGCTGTAATGACTATTCTGCAATGTCAGGGGGATCTCCGTGGTCAGATCTCGCACGTCGGGTAATTGATTCCCTGTTGTGAAACGAGTTTTCTCTTTTTTATTTTTCTTTTCCAGAAAGAAAAAAGAAGAAAAGGAGGAGAAAAAGTCGTCGTGATGAATGAATGAAATGATGTAAAATCGAGAAGTAAAAGCATCGATACTACCTAGATACTTTCTCAAAACCGGTTGAAGGTATCCGGTGATCATGAACCAGTGCATTATCCTCAAACTGACGAGGCAGGCGGCGTTCAGGATCCTTTGAACGAAGCTCATGTCTTGCGTCAGGGATTTGCCGAAGTAAGGCGTGACGGACCATGGAGATGGGTTCCCTTGCCGACTTATCGACCCACTGTACAAAGCCACCTGCGCCCGGACATCGCAACGCCATTTAATTTTAACGCGTCAGACGTACGATACTCTTTTTTTCTTTAAATTTTATACAGAAATATAAAATCGTTATGTAGAAAATTAATTCGATATCTAAGGAAAAGAGGACAAGGAAATCGGACAAGGAAATTGTTTACCGTGTTTAGCATGATGGTGGGCACGCCCTCGCCGTGGAGAACTCCAAGAAGGCACTCGGGGAAGGCTCCGTCCACCACGGCAACGTCCCATCGTTTACGAGAATCGGCTTTGCCCCTTCTCAGCCAGGCTACCGATATTTCGTCCCGAAGAAGCGCCTCGCAAGACTCCCAGGCGTATCGCATCGCGTCCCACGGGGAGATGGGCATTTCATCCCGGAACCTCGCACCGACCAAATCCCATTCGGACGTGTAATTCCCGACATAAGCCTGCCGATAAAAGCGAACGTCAACCTTCTTCTTCTTACAACTCGATCCTACATTCCTCCTTCCTTTATATAATTTTTATATAATTATATGCACGCGTCGAATAATTCTCGAACGAGAATTGGATCGAGAATTAATATCGATAATAATAATATCGATAATACGGTATAATAATTACGATATATAATTATATACACGCGTTGGATTCGAATAATTCGAATCGACCGAGGAATTGAATCGAGAATTACTTCTTCCTTTTTTTATTTAACATTTTAAAATTGTCGCGCATTTACGATCCCATTGTCCTTCTTTTATATAATTTTTATATGATATAATATACGATATATAATTGTATACACGCGTTGGATTCGAATAATTCTCGAATCGACCGAGGAATTGGATCGAGAATTACTTCTTCATTTCTTTATTTAACATTTTAANGATCGAGAATCAATATCGATAATAATAATATCGATAATACGGTATAATAATTATGATATATAATTATATACACGCGTTGGATTCGAATAATTCTCGAATCGACCGAGGAATTGGATCGAGAATTACTTTCTTTATTGAACATTTTAAAATTGTCACGCATTTACGATCCCATTGTCCTTCTTTTATATAATTTTTATATGATATAATATACGATATATAATTGTATACACGCGTTGGATTCGAATAATTCTCGAATCGACCGAGGAATTGGATCGAGAATTACTTCTTCCTTTCTTTATTGAACATTTTAAAATTGTCGCACACTTTGTACACACAAGTATTGCCGGTAATTAGAAATGTTCTCCGTTCATGGTCCGCTAAATTCCCCAGGCTTCTCGATTCTCCCTCGTTCCCGCGATTTATAATTCAAACTGTTTGCACGCGATACAAACACGAAGCAATCCCTTTTGTACAATCTCCTTCCGTACTCCAACTACGCGCTCACTCGAGTAAACTTGCTGCAATCAGCTTACACTTGCGATTGAAAACAGAGCTTGAAAGCTTATCTAGAAACTATTTCCCATAAATATATATATAAGAGAATATAATTAAAGCAGTTGGGCAAAGAAAAACGGTCGTTATTCGAATATTACCCGAATTTAGTGTCGTTAGTTTCGAATGTAAAATTTTTCTCGTGTGCGCTATATATATATATATTTACAGTGTAAAAAATTGGCTCGTTACCTCGAAAATGGGAGGGACAAACTCCTGCAGCCCATTATTCGCAGCTGGTCCCGGAAATGCGCTTAAAAGGGTCACGTTGTGTCCACGTGTTTTCAAACTGATACCCAACGCGACGAAAGGTATGGTGTGAGACTTGGTCCCACCCATGGTGGCCATTAGAACGTTGTAGGCGTTCGTCGTTCCATCGCAAAATATCGAGACGGCCAACAGGAAGAGAATAACCACCGCTATCGGATTCCTCATCTTTACGAACATTCTTCGATTTTTCTCTTCGGATATGTATATATATATATATATATGTGTGTGTATTTGTTCTTTTCTTACGTCGCGTCGTCTTCGCGCTCAAACTGTGCGGCGATCAATCGATAACGCGATCGTTCGAACCATCTTCTCGAAACGGTATCATCGTTTAAGTATACAACATGCTTCGTGCCTTCTTCTTCTTCCTTCTTCTGTCTCCCACCGCGTCTCTCTACGCGTACTTATTTATTATCCTCTTTTACGGTTAAGATATTTATATTATTCCTCGATTATTTTCGCTTCTCGGCTAAGTGTAAATCGAGCGTGGCGCGAATTACTCTATCCTTTTCCTTTCTCTTCCTCTTTCTCTTTTTTTCTCTTTTCAGGCGAGGACACACGGGTTTACACACGGTTGGACCGTCGTAGCGGGAGGATCGAAAAAAACAGGCTGATCCATTATCATTGTAATGATGGGTTGACAAGAGGGAGGGGAGGGGAGGGGAACAAAAGAGAGAAAAAAAGCGGCCATGGAACGGACGATTGTCTGGAGGAGGGGGGAGGAGGCGGGCAGAGGCGAAGAGGAGAAGAGGCGGTTTTTCTTCTTGACAAGGTGGAGGTCCATGGAACACCTCGAGACGACTATCCCCTCGTCATTTGTACACGAAGTACGCGGACCATGACCGATCAGCTTCGTTTCCGTGATTCTTTATCTCGCTTTCAACCTCTGAAACCACACCGTGGTGCGACTGATGGTGCGTAATGATTTATTTATTTATTCTTCATCGCGCTATTTCAAAGAAAGGCAGCGGACAGAACGTATACTAATTGGAGACGTGTTTGCGTCCGAATGAAACGTGTTTCCATGCTCGTATGACGTATATTTAATTTTCTCGCTCGTATCGACCCTCGTGTTTACACGCGCGTGGCGGATAAAGAAGGGAGGGGGGAATTCTCAAATTCTCCGTTTCCGATGAACGAGATATCCCGTGAAAGGGAAAATATCTCGAGATATTATTTTTTTTTCTTTTCCTCTTTAACTCGAGGTTTCGATCGACGAAACTTGCATAACCGATAAAATTTCGACAGATTCAAGGGATTCGTTCTCGTCGAGAGATTGTTTCGCTAACGACGCAGGGATCTCCTCGATCCCAATCCTCTCTTATATATTTCTTATCCCTTTTAAGTTCCTCGACCACCGTCTTTCCTCCGCTCGAAAAATGGATCACCCGATTTCGTCGGGGCGTACCACTCGCCTCGATAGGATAAAAGGGGGATGCCGAGTGGTTTCGCGGACAATGAACGATCCTCTCGATGATCCGCGTTAAAATTTTCGAGAAAGCGGGAAGAAGGAGTGTGTAGCTCTCTTCGAGTAACATCGAAGTAATTTTGAACGAGGGGGAGGGGAGGAATAGTTGGGAAGAAAAAATCGAGAGGCTACGGTTATTTAGGATTTCGAAGATGTTTAAAGAAAGATAATTAGAGATTTCTTTGGAATTGGAAAGAGAGATAGGAATAGCTAATTATGGAAAGTAGGTCTCGTTCCTAATCGTGCACGAAATTCACGCGTTTGGAGAGATCGAATTAATCGATGCGATTAAGAACGAATGAATCGAGGTGAAAAAAAGAAAAATTACCTCTTAAAATTCTATTTTCTATTTCGCTTATTCGTCCTATTCGAAGACTCTCGAAAAAATAAATCTCGATCTTTTTGATTCTTAATTTTCCAGCGAATAGAAACATTAGCGCGACCATATAGCGTGACGAACATATGAAAAGAATAAGGCGAACACGACGATGACGTTGTTCTACGTTTGTTTTGTTTCGAGGTGTACAGTGGTTTCTCGAAAAGTCGTTTTCGGCGAATCGTTCGAAACGAACGGTTTAAACGAGCGGTCGGTCGTTTGGAGGGCGATCAGCGGCAACACTTTTTCTTACCTCGCGCCACTCGTCCGCGACTTTCTTCCTTTTACGCGTATCAGCTTTCCTCCTTTCTCGCGCACTCGTTCCTCATCGATCCTCTTACCATTTCCACGAACCAAGTCTATTTCTTCCAACGACAACAACAACAACAACAACAACGCTCTCCGCCGATTCTTTCACCAAGGTCGATACTTTTCCATCGATTAACAACAATCGTCCTTCTCATCCTCCCCTATCCCTAATATCTTTCCTTCTTCTCCTTCTTCTTCTTCTCCTTCTCCTTCTTATTCTTCTCCTTCTTCTTCTTCTTCTTCTTCTTCTTCTTCTTCCTCCTTCTTCTTCCCCGCTACGAATAAATCGGAGGATGATTTATTTACATTGCGCCGCGAGTCGAATCGAGGATATCTCGCTTGAAAACGATTCGATAAACGTACGCCGTACGTTTGAACGGTAAAAGTACAAACTTTTGGAAGTTCTTTGAAGAGAACTCGGGGCGGGGTCGAGCGGATGAGCGCGAGAAAGAAGAAAAACGAGAAACGAAAAAAAGGAGAGAAAGAGAAAAAGAAAAGGATAAAGAAAAATCGAAGGCGAAAAATTCGATTTTCCGCGAAACTTTGCGAGGCACTGGGACGCGTTGCGACGCACGAAGCTTGGATATGGCCGAGCGTGAAAGTTTGACTGGCCAGCGGCAGCTTTAATGATCAGCTGTGCTCGAGAGAGAGAGAGTTTTGCCTCCCACCAGAGGACTGGGCTTCTTGGCGTTCGACGATGATCCCGTCGATGTGACAGCCAGGATGCAAGCAACGATCGAGATCGATTCGATCTCGCCATTCGTTTTATATCTCGTTTGCGTTCAACGACGAGGATTCTTTTTTTTTTTTCTGCTTTCCATTTCGAAACTCGTCTTCTTCGATTCGAGATTTGGTTTCTTACAGAAATCGTTCAGGATTATCCTTACTTACATGGCACATGTAACATGTAAAATGGAAACGAGAAGCAGAGAGGTGGTTGGTATAATACGTGATCATAATAAACGTTGACGGTTAACGATAAAACAACAATTTGCTGAACGTCCAACAGATCTCTTAATTGTATCGTCCACGAATCATTATCTTATGTCGTTAACTCGATCCATCCATCATTTTTAACGATAATGGTTTGTTATTCTTGCTTCTTTTTTCTTCTTTCGCGCGCACACGATTCTATTTCTTATTTTCGGCGCAAAAGCGATTATTTTTATTTTTATTACTTTAACGTATTTTCTTTATGCCTTTTTACACATCGCGCGTTTTAAAGTGGCAACTTTGAAAAGAAAGTTGAGGAAAACGTTCAACAAACATTTGAACATTTTAATGCTTTCTATTTTAGTTTAATTATAATAACGGTTTAATTTGTTGAACAAGCGCGAGCAAGATTTCGATCGATCGATCGATGGTTAATTAATGCACGAGGGCGAGAAAAAGATCGGTTTTTAATCGGTCTTTCGATACTTTTCGAACTTGCCGTTACAAAAGGCAAACCGTTCAAGGCCTAAATGAGAAAGCACGATGATTAATTTCACGGCCGGTCGTTTTAAGACCACCAATTTTTTTCCGAGGATGAATGAACGGTACTCCAGACGATACATAGTGAAAGTTGAAAATTCGTTAAATAAATCTCTGAAACACGGATTGTGTAACAAAGTAACGATGTTTTTTCTTTTTCTTCTTTTTCTTTTTTCTTTGGAACGATTGGAACGAATTAAAATCCGCATTCATTTAAATAGAATTAAATAACGGGTCTGGAAGCAAGAAATACACGATGATACTCCACCTTGTGATAGATACGACGATAAAACCACTCTCGTCTAAGTTTTCGATCTAAATAATTTCAGATTTCTAAAAAAAAAAAAAAAAGAAAGAAAGAAAGAATCGGGTTTATAAATCGCGCGCGAGATAAATAAAATTAAAAATCGGATAAGATTTTACAAGCGTAAAATAAAAGTCATCGATAAAAGTCAAAGATTCGATGCAATAATGAGTTTAATTTATAATCTTGCTTATTTATGGGGAGAAGAATTTTTTCTTTTTTTTTTTTTTTTTTATTAAGGCAATAAAACTTACACACCGAAATTTTCAACTTACTCGATCGAACCTCAATACAGTCTCGTGATCGAGTTTCTCTTTCGCGTTTATTTTTTTTTCTCTCTTTCTCTCTCTCTCTCTCTCTCTCTCTCTCTCTCTCTCTCTCTCTCTCTCTCTCTCTCTCCGATATCAAGTTTATCAATGGATGATTTATCGAGATTTTTCTTTTTCTTTTACCGCTGACAAGCGCTTAAAATAAAATTGGAAACGCTTATCCATTAAACTTTTACTCACACTTGTAAATTCACACCGTCCTTATTCGATGATCGTGCGTCCTCCTCGTTCTTTAAAATATTTCAAACAGAAGGAAGCAAGACGTACAAGACGTTGAATAATCATCCCGTTGAACGAACAACCTTCAATTACGAAAATTCGATCCAATCTAATCTGATCTTTCCGTTTTCCGTTCGATGACCGACTTTCTGTATCGAAAACAAGATTGTGGGAAAATATTTCTTTTTATTTTTTTATCTATTTCTCGAGATTCGAAACAAATCGAGCGACTGAATATTTTTTTTTTTTTTCATAGCGATACAAAAGAATTCAAAAAAGCGAAGCAACGTTCACGAAAATTTTATAATTTTTATAAATTTTCTTTACGAAACCTATCGTATAAGTGAGCGTAAATTGACATTTATTTCAAAAATTTTACCCAATAATCGGTTCAATCGCGTGTTAAATATTCGTATTTTCGAATTTCCAAACTAAATCGTTCGGAAACTTAACGATCCGAATAAAGAGAGAGAAAGAAGAGAGAGCGACAGAGAAAATAAAACGCGAGAGAACGCACATCGTTGCGAATCAACGACGAAATGAAGAATTAGGGCAAATTTCACTAGTTCGAGTACCGTTACTCGATGGAGAACGATTCGCCGTTGGAACAGTTGGTTGCACTTTGCCCATCCCATATCGAAACCGTCGCCTATTACACGTATCGTGCATATCGATTTCTTTCTCGAT